CCAATAGTAAACTAGCATTGTACCCGCCCTCTGCTGCAGTTCTCCATCAGGTCCATCAGCAGAGGGCGGGTACAATGCTAGTTTACTATTGGCTATTGCAAATTGAGATAGCCAATAGTAATGTAGCAATGCATTTCAATGGGAAAACATTTTTATTTCTTTTTTCTATTCTGACATCGCTCCGTGTCAGAATAAAGAAAAAAAAAAGACATATCAGTGTTTCTCTCCTGGGCGAACGGGAGCGGGAGGCTCCCAGAGTGCCCGGGAGAGTTTTCTTTTTTTTTACGGCAGCAGAGCCACGGGCAATAGGAAACTAAGTGCTTTTCCTAAGACTTACTGTCCATATCTAAATAGCACCATCTTTAAACGAGCTAGCTGGTAGGTTGTAGCACTGGTACTAGATTCACCTCTAGTAGATTTATTACACAATATTGAAAATATGAGTTGCAGTTTATGCTGCCCTTATAGAGATCTACATCACGTCATTTTTCATCACTCTTTTGTGGATGGTCCACCATTTGGAAATGGAATAGGCTTGTGTCCTTTACAGTTTTTATGCTGGCTTGCTGATGTCATAAGAATGTGTGAGTGCTGTAGAAGACAGATTTTGAAATAGAAAGTGAAGGTCAATGTTTACATATAGGTCACTTACTGTGACAGGTAAACCACCAGATCTACCAAGGCTTATTATTATTTTTTAATTATTATTATTATACAGGATTTATATAGCTTTCCAATATAAGGAAGACATTACAATACAATTCAAGACAAGATGTAAGGAGGGCCCACAATCTAAAACCGGATTAATTGTTCCCTGTGTTTCTTACGGGTGATCCACCACAGTAACCTTCTACCCATTTCTCAATGAAGCCATCTATTCCTTCTCCTACCCCATCTTCTCTATAGAAATCTATTCGATAGATAAGCAACTGTACCTTTTTACATTTATTTTATATTGTATTTACCAATATTATTTGCCCAGCTTCTTGTGTGCCAAGTGGTAAGAGCTTTAATAAAAGGTGACAGATCGGTGAAAGACGTTCTCTAAATTTTTAGACTAATACGTTGAGATAGCGTTATAAAGGTAGTAATAATAGGCATATTACATTTTTTTTTGCAGCAATTCTAAATGTGGATGATTCTGTCGTGGATCTAGAGACCTTGGAAGCCTTGTATGAAAATGTAAGTTGTTTGTTTTTTGTAATTGTGTTGATTTTTATTTTTTTAGACTTATTTGGCTTGATCCAAAAAATGGCTTAAATAAAACAATTGTAATAGTTGAAAATACATTCTCCTGGACATCCTTGAACATATGCCAATTAAACAGTGCTGTTAAAATTCCTCTTTACCACTGATTTTCAGTTTATTGTAATCCAATTGAAACCATTCTTGACTTCTATGTATGGCCTAATCCATAAAGCCTCGGACTGTGAGACTATGAACATGATCCAGTACTAGAGGAGTGCTAGTAAAACTTTGCTTCTTATTGTAGCTTGATGATTTGGTAATTCTCTAGGTATTTTTTCATCACCAGGGTTACTGGATCAACTATTCTACAACTGAAAAAGCATGAGGAGTTCTGATATATATTGTGGCTTTAGTTCTATTAGTACTATGGTTGCCTCCACATTATTGTTTAATACTTTTAAAAAGGGTGTCTAAACATTTACTGTCTTATTCAATAAAGATTTTATTCTTAATCATTCATAAATGCAGTAACTCATGGCAACCAATTAGAATCCATCAATCCAACCACTGGTCTGGATTCTCTGGAGTGAATTCTTATTAATGTCCTTAAGAATTGCACTTAAGAGTAAGAAGCATTTAATGAATACGGTCAAATTTATATTGTCTGTTCACAGAGGGCACAAAAAGAGGAGTTGGAAACCATCAGAAAGCACTATGAAACTTCCACGGCAGAAGAAATAAAGATGCTGGACAAACCTGAACAGTAAGACTGCATACCAAAAACTGCTTTTGTGTTTTTTTTTAGATTATTCTATGATTGTTCATTTATTAAATTCAAGCAAAGCTGAGTACACATTATGGGCAGCACAGTGACAAAGTGGTTAACACTTTCCTGCCTTGCAGCACTGGGGGTGCCCGGTTCAAATCCAGATCAGGACACTGTCTGAAAGGTGTTTGCATGTTCTCCCTGTGCTGTATGTATGGATGTGAGATGGGGACCTTCATGTGTAAGCGCATTGAGGGCAGAGACTGATGTGAATATGTAAAGTGCTGCGTAAAATTGTCAGCGCTATATAAATACCAATAATAAATAAATAATGTTTATGGTTTTTTCCCCCCCAGGTTCCTTTATGAGCTTTCGCAGATCCCAAATTTTATGGAGAGGTCTAAGTGCATAATTTTCCAGTCTGTTTTTGCTGAGGGGATTGGCTCAGTGGGGAGAAAAATAAACACAGTCATCGGGGCATGCAACGTAAGTGTGTGCATTGAATATACATATTATAATAACACTGGTGTCCTTAAGAAACCAACAGTCTAGGTAATTTAATATAGTTATTTGCATTTGATGGGCTCAAAAACCTAGGTACACAGTACATGGGCACTTGTCTTTGCACCCATGACACATTGATTTCCAGGGCTTGAAAAATTTTAGGGTGTCTCACCAGTCAGTCAAAAACTCTTTTACTGCTCATCAGTTTAGTGTTATCAGTGATTAATGGCCCTAAAATGATTGCTCCCACTCCGACGTTCGCAGTGATATGTAACGTGCGCATTCATCGTTTTTGCATGTAGGCGCACCTGATGTATGTTTGCGTGTGTATGTGGGGGGCGGGGGACTTTAACATTTTTTTATTTTTTTTTTATGTTTTCATTTTTGTAAAAAAAATTTTTTGTAAAAAGCCCCCTATGTGATAGCCAATTTACATGACAGGTCCTCTTTATGGAGACATCATGGCCCAAGACCCCTAATGTCACCTAGGGACCCCTAGAGAAGCTGATGAAGCAAAGATCTGCTTCACCAGGTTCTCCCTAGCTTCTGAACCTGGAGAGTGACAGCAGAATGCGGAAGTGATGTAATATACATCACTTCCTGCATTCAGGGACTGGAGAGGAGATCCGAGGGAGATAGTCTACCGATCTCCCTTTGATCCCCTATCACAGAGCAGCCGTGCCGGTCCCAGCCGCACCAGGCATATCGGATCTCGGGACCGGCAACAGCAGTGACAGCTGCTGCTAACACAAGCGCTTGTGGAGACGCTCGTTCGCTTGAATGTAACGTTCCCAGACGGCCGTGCAACGGAGGACGAGCAGATTTTTGAAGCCCTGTTGATTTCATTTAATATGGCAGAACAGAGCTAACCAACACTGCTCAATGAGATTGTTAATTCTACAGCAGGGTTTCCACAAGTATTCATTGATTTAAAAAAAAAAAGTTCCAGCAGAAATTTCCAGCAGAAATTACCTTAAGTGCAATCACCTTCTGTACTGTGAAGAATCTTGCTTCATATAAATGACAATGGAGCAGATGGCATGTGGTGTGCTGCTGAATATAAAGTACTTTGAGCAGTTATTATGTCATATTGATTGTTTTATATATTTTCTGCCTGTTGAGAATTCAGTTTTGGGTGGGAAACCTGGAGAGCAGTAGCCTTTGTGTAATATGGAATTTATATTCTAGGGACTCATGAAAATGGACAGTGTGAAGGACATTATGGGTCTTGTTCTTGCATTTGGAAACTATATGAATGGAGGCAACCGAACACGTGGGCAAGCAGATGGGTTTGGACTGGAAATCCTTCCTAAGCTTAAAGATGTTAAGAGCAGGGTAAGGAAATTAAACTTTATTTTTGTAAGTTAAAATTAAGAAAATATATGTATAAAGGTTAATATGATATGCAAGATACATTTTAAATACACTTTTAATTTTTTTTCCACCAGTTTTAGGTGGTGGCCTCTAGTTTTTGTAATGGAGTTAATTTTAAACAGTTTATCGCTAATGTTGCTACCACCATTGAACATTTTGTACATGGAGATCATATCCCCCCTTAATCTCCTCACCTCCAATGTGAACATGTTTAAATTTAGTAGACTTGTCTCGTAGCTCTGGTCCTCCATACCCCTAATTAGTTTGGTTGCCCTCCGCTGGACTTTTTCCAACTCAAGGACATCTTTTCTTAGTACTGGTGACCAGAACTGGACCGCGTACTCCAGATGAGGTCGAACCAATGATCTATAAAGTGGCAAAATTATAGACTTGTCCCTGCAAGACATCACCTTTTTAATACAGGACAAAACAGAGCTAGCTTTGTTTACAGCAGCCTGGCATTGCAAGCTACCTTTCAGTTTGTGGTCTACACAGTTTTTAGTTTGGTATAACAGTACCTTACGGTAGCTGCAAGTACTTTTTTTAAATTTTTAAATCAACATCTGTGTCCTTGTAGTGCTCTTTGAATCCCAGGCTAAGTTTGTACACATGGTGTCAACTTTTGGAAAAGTTGACACAAAATTATGACACTGACATTAGGCCTCTTCTTTTCCAATTTTAGAGCTGCAGTAGCTAAGAGATGGGGCAGGTTGAGACTTGGCATCCTCGCAGACAGAAGTCCAGGCCGTGCATACAGCCTGGGCCTAAGGGTTAAGGGTGAGCCACAATTACTCAGATGTATGCAAATTTAAGCAAGTGCATTCAGCCACTGCAAGGTACTTGCACTTCAGCATTATTATTAGCTTGGGTGCTTTTTGGCCCATGCCACATTCTTTTTAGGTATTGGTAAAATATTAGCCCACTTACTGAACTGAAGTACACTTACTGTGCATTTTGTGAACCTTGGCTGAGGTTTATAATTCAACAAGGATGCACAACTGTTTTTGTTATATTGCTGTGTGGGTCATTTTAACGCAGGAATCTGTTTTTACTTTAAAAACCTTTAGGTTTATCATTGGCAATTTCCAATATCATTGCCAAGTCACATCTAATGTTTTTCTTCTACCTTTAGGATAATGGTGTTAGCCTTGTCGATTACGTTGTTCGATATTATCTTCAACATTTTGACAAAGTAAGTGCTTCCCCCCTTGGTTTTGTTTAAAAATGTAACCATAGTTTAGGTCTCACTAGGTTATTAAACATACAATAAAGTTTTTGCCCCTATCTTAGGCTGAGTTACCTAGCAGCTGTGGTAAAGAAGTTCCTTAAGTAAGAAGACGCGCTGGCGCTGACTCGAGTATAAGCCGAGGGGGGCACTTTTCACCCAAAAAAATGGGCTGAAAATCTCGGCTTATACTCGAGTATATACGATAAATATAGAATTTCAAATATTGGACTGCATTATTAATGAAGTGGCAAAGCACGCAATAAATGTGCACATAACATTAAATGTCCCCAATGATTGTGATTCAAAAATATCCTAAATAGCATAAACCTAGTATGACACTAACAATATATTCATTGTGATTTACCCAATCATTAATACATAATGTCAGAAACAATCATGGCCAATTCAATCTAATTAAATGACATAAAAAAATCCTAAACATAAAAAAAAATCTCATAAGTGCATATATCAAATACAAACTGCTTGTGTCCATCAATCCTGAATTCCAATATACAAAATTGCCGAAGTGCAACACAAAATGAGCACAAGCACATTGTATTTGATCTAATGATGATGAATGATTTTTAATGTTTAGGATTTTTGCATTTCTGTAACTCAATCAGTTTGAATAAGCGATTGTCTATGAAATTATGTGTTAATGACTGGGTATATTATAACAAATATATTAGTGTCGTACCAGGTTTATGCTATTTAGGATATTTTTGAATCGCGCTATAAAGTGATCTTAAAGGGTCGTTTTTTTGTTATCAAAACTAGGAGGCCCACCTATGAATAAAGGGTATGCTCCTTTTCTTCAAAAAGGTATTTCTTCCTAGTTTTCTATTGGGTTCCTGCAGTGCTTTAACCCCGCCCCCTGCACGGGTGCCTCAATCATCTAAGCGGCTGCTGTTGAGTCACCCGTGCTAGCATATATTTTGGTGATTCTGCGCTGGATAAGTGAAGTAGGTAATGTGTGTGTGTGGGGGGGGGGGCACAGGAGAGAGACAAAGGTACTGGGCGTTTTTTTACCCTAATGCAGAGAATGTATTAAGGAAAAAAACACCCTGCCTTCTAGCCCAGTCTGAAAAGGTGCCATTTACAGATACCCTCTGGACACGTTCCCGTAGCCAGTTCTCTATCCACGTACACACCACCTCATCTATGCCCATAGCCCTCAGCTTGTGTAGCTACTTTAATGCTACTTTAATCATTGGGGACATTTATTGAATGTTGTAAGCTTCTTTTTTTTATTATTTATTGAGCACTTTGTCACTTTATTAATAGCGCAGTGCAATATTTGAAATTCCTCACTAATTTATTATTCTTACCTATACTTCAGTCATTAACTGTTTCTGTAATAGAAAAACTCTGGTTGTTCTTAAACTTGTGTGTCTTGTAGAATGTAGACACAGAGAAGAGTATATTTCCATTGCTGGAACCTCAGGATTGCTTCCAAGCAGCACAAGTGAAATTTGAGGACCTGGACAAGGATTTACGAAAGTTAAAAAAAGATCTTCAAGGTATATTTTTGTCACTTCAATTGATGAATCTACAGCTGTTAAAACTTGGATATTAATATTGAGAATGTTAGAAAAGGGTGTCTCTTTGCATGAAAAAAACAGCCATTGCCCATGTACCTGCAAAGCTCTGTGGGTTCTTTCTGTTAATATGGGGCCCTCCTATCGATCTGGGAGCCCTTCCATTAGTTTTGTGTGACACTGCTGCATCCTTCGCTGGACCGTATTCTCTCCTGTATTTACGTTGGCCCCCAAAAGCTGAGTTTGGCTGGAAGGTCCAAATTTGAAACATTCAATTCTCTCTTTGGACGAAACCACATAAAATTAAGCACTATTTTTATGCCTGGCTGTTCTTATCCACGTGGTTTTTGGCAAAAGTTGAAAGAAGCAGCTGAGAGATGGTCCTTGTGCTGAACTCCATGAGGACAAGAAAAGATTGACTAAACAACTATTGGACAGTAACACATAAGATTACATTTTGGTATTTAGATGACCATATTTACCTTTATTTTTTAAGAGATCAGAAGTAGATCTGGAATTTGTGGTTCACATGAATAATGGTCATTCAGATGTTCAGTAGGCTATTTGTGACTTATTTTTATCAATTAGCAAAATGGAAAGTAAATGAACAGAAGAGAATTCCAAATCAATTCAATATTTGGTGTGACCGCCCTTTGCCTTCAAACCAGCATTAATTACTCTAGGTACACTTGCACACAGTTTTTGAAGAAACTTGGCAGGTATGTTGTTCCAAACATCTTGGAGAACTAGTAGTATACGAACAGACTGCACTATCTAGAGAATTCCAATACTTCAGACTTTATGGAAATTCACAGCAAATCCAGTATAACAGTACATTTGTATGTATTCTCAAGAGAGTTTGATATTTTATTTTATATATTTATCTTTTGTACACTGTTTCACACTCTGCACAGTTGATAGGGAAATTGCGGTTTGGTGAGATGAAGTTAGATGTTTTAACTCAATTTGGTATTGTTGGTATGGAGATTATAATTTGCATGATGGGATTAATAGTTTCTTTGTGCTCTACTGACCCTTATACAATGGCCAGTTTAGAGTTAGCCAATCCATCAGTGAGCATTGCTTCCTGCATCTGTGTAGGGTGGAGTTTTTGAACACATTTAAGTGAGATACTGGTCTGTATTTGTTACCTCTATGAATAAACCTGCAAACCTGCAGGTGTAGCTGGTTGGGGGTTTGCGGTGCTGGTATTTGCTGCTTTAAACACTTTTATTTACTGTTAGACTGGATTTGCTGTGAATTTCAATAAAGTCTGAAGTATTGGAATTCTCTAGATAGTGCGGTCTTTTCGTATACTACTACATTCCAAGGTGGAGACGCACCTATTAGACCAGCACCTGGGGAGTCCTGATGGCGGCTAAGGAATTGGAGTGGTGAGATTTCCTTTGGCTCTCTATCTTGGAGAACTAACCACCGATCTTCTATGGATGTAGGCTGCCTCAAATGCTTCTGTCTCCAAGTAATCCTAGACAGACTCAATAATGTTGAGATCAGGGCTCCGTGGGGGCCAAACCATCACTTCCAGGACTCCTTGTTCTGAAGATAGTTCTTAATGGCATTGGCTGTATGTTTGGGGTCGTTCTCCTTCTGCAGAATAAATTTGAGGCCAATTGCACACCTCCCTGATGGCATGTCATGATGGATAAGTGTCTGCTTGTATTTCTCAGAAGTGAGGACACCATTGATCCTGACCATTGATCTCCAGCTCCATTGGCAGAAATGCAGCCCCAGACTTGCAAGGATCCTCCACTATGGTTCACTGTTGCTGCACACACACATTATTGTACCGCTCTCCTGCTACAGCCAAATATTTCAAATTTTGACTCATCAGTCCAGAGCAACTGCTGCCATTTTTCTGCACCCCAGTTCCTATGTTTTTGTGCATACTTCAGTCACTTAGCCTTGTTTCCATCTCGGAGGTAAGGCTTTTTGGCCACAAGATCGCAGAAAAATGGCAGCAGGTGCTCTGGACTACGGAGTCAAATTGTACTCGCAGTACTGTATATATTATATAATGTATTCTAAGGCACTGGCTGGCAGGATCGTGGACAATGTATATATCATCAAAGTTTCTCACACATGGTGAGGGGTTCCACGGATGATGACTGATATGGAGGAAACAAACTTGTTGTTTCCTCAGAAACTTAAGTCCGGTTCCTGGAGCCCAGAGGCTCTGTAGAGCATTGGGAGGGAAAAAGCCATCTTTCCCAGGTCCATATCTTACCTGGTACTCGGAGCTCATTATTGATCTCAGCTGTGTGCAGGCCTTTATATATGTGAGCTGTGGGCTCTCTCCCCCCTCTATCTGCTGTGGGAGCCTGCTACTGGGTGAAAAGTAAGTGCAGACAGAACACTAAAAATGTGCTGACTGTTATGGGGAACCCAGTAGGGGGCTCTGTTTGTCAGGAACTGATCTGTGTTTAGTTGTTGGGACAAGCAGATATTTGTTTTACGTTATGAACAAACCTGCTTGCACTTTCTTTGGTGTTCCTGTCTCATGCATGATGTACCGCCACCACTACCATTTGAGCCTGTCCCCCTTTGATGCTCGTATGTGAGCAGCACCTTTTAAGAGACACACATCTATTGGTAAACAAAATGGTGAAGTTTGTAAAAAAAAAAATGGTGTTTAGACTACAGCATTTGAAGGTTCAGAAACCCTAATGTTTTATATCCTCCATTTCTTTGTTGAAATAAAATGTAAATATTAGGGATGCACCAAAATTTCGGCCACCGAAACATAACTGCCGAAAATGGCATTATCGGCATCTTTCAGGCCGAAATTGCGGTGCATGCCTAGTTTTTCTCCTCTGGCTGTGGGCTGCTCTGCGCCCCTCTGACAACGTGCAGTGTCCAGCAGGGAGGAGAGAAACTGTCAGAGGAGGCCGAGCGGACCGGGGGAGGAGAGCGATGTGAGCCACGATAACACAGGAGGCCGGGCTCTCCTCAACTCCCACCTCGGTTTCCTCTGACCGATCAGGATGGAGAGCAGTGTGGGGGGCGAAGAGAGCCATGCACTGTTACAGGAGCCCAACCGAGCGGTGAGGGGAAGTCAGCTGTCAAAACAAAACAAGCTCTCCTCCCGCACTGCCGCCTCACCCTCCTGTGACTGCTTGTACCGCTCTCCATCCTGACTAGCTGTCAGCGATTAGTGATTGCTGACTGTTAGTAACTCATCATATGTCCAGTTATTTACAATGTACCAGTTATGAATGAATAGGAAGTGATTTAGATCGCTTCCTATTCATTCATGATTGTGTACATAGTAACTTATACGATCTCCACAATTTACAAATGAACAGGACCACTCAGTATAGAGCAGCAGTGGCGTACCTATGGCATGCGTGCCAGGGAGGGCACGCGAGCCCAGGTTCAAGGACCACCAATTGAAATAGATGCGACCGACCCGGGAAATACCGCGATTTCTGCCGCAATATCGCGCATTTTTGCCGCACGATATTGCGGGAAGTTGCCAGTGAAGGTCGCGCGATCGTCGCCCCCAAAGTCGCGCTATCCCGGCCGCGCAGATCCGCTTGTAAGGTATGTCGCTTGGTGTGAATGGGACCTAAGGCAGTGATGTTGAACGTTTCTTAAACCCGAGCGCCTGAACTGCAATACAGTACTAAACTTATTTTCAGCACTGGCACTTTGAGGTAAATACATTGATTTTGCGTCGCAATTTGGGCACTCGGGTTCAAAAAGGTTCGCCATCACTGGTATAGAGGATTCCTGTTCATTTATAACAGGGGCTGCAGAAAAAGAGATTGAGGACTTGGTGTCCTCAATCTCTTTTTTCTTTTTTAAAAGGGAAATATCAGGGGTCTGTTTAGACCCCTGATATTTCACAGAAGCTCCCAACAGTAAAGTTAAAAAATTAAAATATTTAATAAAACTTAATATACATTTTAAAGTTTATAAACGATAAAAATAAAAGATTTTAAGGAAACCTCATTTTCGATTTCGGCCTGACTTTTCTTTTTTTCCGTTTTTAAAATTTAAATTTTGTTGCACCTCTAATAAATATGTAAGATTTTGGGGATACATTCAAGGCATATGTTAGGAGTTCCTGAAGCATGCCAAAATGTGAGATCAAGCCCATAAAACTTGATTGCATAACACCAGGCTTTTCAAGAATGCAAAAGACAAACTGTTCTATACCAAACAGGCATTTGGGTATAGTACTCATTCTAGTAAATTGTAAATATAAAAATAAATTAAATGACAAATTAAATGATAAATTAAATGACATTGCCATGTCTGAAGCAAGTAGAATTAATCTTAAGATAATCCTCCTTCCTAAGTGCCTCTATGTATTTGCCCATATGCCATTGTTCCGAAATCCTTTTTTGCAGAACTCAGCTTTGTTCTGTGCCTTTTGTGTGTGGCACCACTAGACCGAACCTGACTACTTTAAAGAGGTAGGGGTAGGCAGGAATGGCCCTCCCAGATGTATTTCTGTATTTAGCACGGCAGTTAAAACACCCAGTTTTCTGGATTCTTCACAACATTCTCTCAAATTCTGAAGCCCACTTTTCTCATGTGCTGGGGATACAATTGCTGGTTTTCTTTCACAAAACATTTAATGAAAAATTAGAACAGAACACATAAATAATCATAACAATACATCACCAAAATCAATTGCTGATTTCCTGTAAGCTTCTAAGCTTTTTTTTCCTTGTAAACTCCTCCTCACTCTGTTGGCAACATTCTCTCACCCATGCACTCCCTGCAACCTCTCCTACTCCTCTTTTCCCCTCTCAGATTGCAACCTTATCAGTTCACGCTCACCCTGTCCCCAACTCTGAACCCCCTAATCAGCACACTGTTACCTGGAGAAACCTTTGCCATTTCAACCCTTCTGTTCTCTACTCTGTTACGGACTACCTCTATTACAAGATCTCACCCCTGTCCTGCCCTGACCTGGCTACTTGTGTTTTCAACAGCTCACTCTTACCCTTCCT